CTCCCTTCTCACTCTTTCCTGTAACGTTGACATTCTCTCCTCTCTCACTACCATGCCCATCCAACCACGACGCCGCTTTTGCTTACAGATAAGTACATTTCAATTTTCTTTTCAAATTTCTAAAGAATTTATTAAACCTCCCATTGCTTGAGATAAGTGCGTGCATTGTGATAGTCAGGTCTGTTTTGGAGTTGATTCTTTTAAATATCACCAGCAGAAACTTGAAGTTTCTGATTCCAGTGAAAATCGATAGAAGAAATTATGCATAAACTCAATGGCTTCTTGCATAATCTAAGATAAGAAACAGTTTGACAACAGCTGTGTTGACTGAAATTTTATCCATATTCAAAAGACATTTTCCTCTTTTTTTTTCTTTTTTTTTTTTTTTAATTCTATTTAAATTTTGGGAACTTGGTAGGGGGAAGTTGGAGAGATATTGACACTGCCATTCTATTTCACCCTACCATGTTAAATGTAGTTAAAATTGCTTTAGGAATCCTTATTAATCTTCTAGTTAATTTTGTTCTTTCAGATCTACTTTTAACAATTTAAAGATAACATGATATTGGCATACTTGGTGTGCTATAACTTTGGCATGAGGTCACACTTCGTGAGACCTTAATAATGAAGGAATTAGCTAACAATGTCTTGTTTGACTTTGCAGAGTATTTCTAAAAAGCAGACCTGTTTAAGACAATATTGATGGAACTGTCAGTATAGAAACTGTTCTATATTATGATGAATTACCATTACTATATACATTGATACAAATAATATTGGTTGGCTACTCATTTGCTAGTCTGCAAGGGTAGCTTTCCCTCCTGTTGCAAATGCCTGCTTAGTCACATGTGTTTTTTTAATGCCAACAGTCAACCTGTGATTTATATTGCAACTATGCTGAGTGGACCTTACTTAAAATTGAGCTTGATCAACAGTTTTCAAGAAGACCAATACACCCAAACCTCTGGTTACAATGACTTTGTGTTGGCATAACCATTGAGAGCTTCCAAAAAATTTGTTTACCAATTTCACTCATAAGGCTTGAGTCAATCATCTTTGTGGTTTTTAGGCACTTTCCAATGATATCACATGCTGATATTGTCACCCGATACTGGTATTATCAGAAAGTAACTTCCTTTGCAAATCAACCAGATTGGGATTCAAATCCAGGTCTCCTGGTTAGTACATTAACATACATACAGATTGAGTAGTGTTGCTTAACTTAATTTGAAAAACTCTGACATGAAAATCAAAATAGCCAAATCTGGTCTCTGAGCATAAGGAATTATGTACATTCTTCTGGCAAGGATAAATAAAAAGTTGAAATAATTGCAATCTTAATTTTTAACCAATTGTAACTGTCAGTCAAGTTTAAAATTTCAGTGTCCCCTCTTTTTCATGCACATGTGTAATTATCTCAACATGGACATCACTTTAGTCTGAAGTTCTAAAGGATGAAATACAACGCAAAAAATTTTTTCCACTTTGTCATCAATTTTCTTATATATATATATGTGTGTGTGTGTGTGTGTGCAGAATATCTTCATTCAAACATGTTTCATTGAATAATATAGACATATTGCGTCTACTTATTTTTATACCAATCCTTTCCCGTTGTCTGATCAGTTGCGATGAAATTCATCAAGAAAGGTACCATAGGTTTTCTTTTTAACCCAAGTACTTTCAACCTTTTCCAAGATCATCTTCAGGGCTTTTTTTTTTTGTTTTTGCTGAAAGACAACATATTGTAACTGTGATAAAATCTGTCTTCCATTGTGATAGTGTTTTTAAAAATCACTATTACTAATACTAATACTTGCCACCTAACAACACTGAAATATTATGCAGGGTCAGTTTTTAGGGTTCCATACCCAGCATAAAAATTTGCCTAGTTCTCACAATTACTGCTGCAAACATCAGGATACATCTCTGACCTTGCTTCTTTTCATACAGGTATTGTCTAAGGGGCTATTCTCAGTCATGTGGTGTCCAGTATATTTTTTTAGTTTACTTAATGCAAAAAAAAAAAAAAAGATTATAATGATATTTATTTGCAAATTTTTTACCTCTTCCCCATCAATTATTTTGGGAAAAACGTTTCATTTTCAGAAGAACTTTTTTTATTTGTTTTTAATATAGTAACTAAGAAACTGAGGTACCTTGAAGTACCCAAGCGGTGGCTAACACCTCTACTTGACATATGAGTTGACAATTGAACTCATCCAAGCTAAGAAGAGCATAAAAAGAATCAAGACTGACATATAAACATGTCTGTAGCTGGTTTTTGAACATTATGTTTAGGACGTGTTTATTCATCTGTCTGAAAAAGAAACTTTCAGCAAAAACATATATGCACGTCTACGTCGGAGAAGGTGTTAGACATAATGTCTCCTTCCTTGGGGACATAGGCAATTATGGCTCTTCACAATTCCTTTTCTTTCTGTGAATTGGCATAACTTTTAGGGAAAGATAGTTAAATGGTTTCCTATTGCTATGGTTTGGAATTCAGAATAGGCCTCCTCCTAAACTGGCTTTCACCCACAGATTCACATCCCTTTAAATTGTAGTGAGTTTTTAATGTTCAGCCTCTCTTCCCACAACATCGGTTTTTGTCTTATCTTCTAAGCAACAAATCTGCATTATTACCATTCAAATTCTAACTACTGATAGAGGAAACTGCAATAGCATCTTATTTCAATCACTACAAAAAGCATCATCAAATTCACTTATTCATTGACATAAGTTTTTAGCCTCTGAGCCATCAAAATGCTCTAGTTTACATTAAAGCAGTAATTTCTTCTATTGATAGGAGGGACCACCATAGCCACTTATTTCATTTACTGCAATGAATATACCTGAATTCAAAGCAGTTTAGAGAAGTAAATCTTTAAGATAGGTGCTATTGTGCTTTGAAGCAATGTTTACTTCTACTGATAGATGGAACCAGTATAACCTCTTATTTCATTCACCATAAGGAGAATTCCTCTAATTCCAATTTATAACATGCCCAGTCTATCCTGGGAGATAAGAAATTAATTTATGCCTTTCTCCAGCTCATTTGGGTGAATGTGAATGGAATTTCAGCTCTCCTCATTAATTCCGTTTTATCTGCTGAAAGTCATTACACTACCTGTGCATCCAACGATTTATTTATTTATTTATTTTTTTTACCTTGTACAAATTTTAAGGTTTTTGACAAATCATGTATCAAGCAAGTTGACTGGCATCATTTTGTCAACTTCATTTGCTCACTATAATTTGTTGCTAACAATGTTTTTAATTTAGGCATATGCATTGGTATTTTAAGATTTACTGCTGGTACAAGCTGTCTACAGTATAGTGTAAACACAACTTTTAATAATATGCACTGAGAAACAAAAAAAAAGATTGTATGACTCCTTCTATATTTGAATTATTGGAGTGGTCTGGTACTGATCCTGTAATACCATGCCTTTAGATTCTGTTTGCATTATGTACTAAAGGAAGTTGAGTGTAAAGTGTCAGAAAGATATTGAAAAACCATTTTCTTTTTAGTCCCATTTATTTATGCCAAGGACTTACTTTTTCACCCAAGAAACCCATCCCAGTCACTGTATTCTTCATTTAAGAGGTGAAACTACTTTTTCTTTTTGGCGTTTTTTTTTTCCTTCCCTAAACCCCCCCCTTTTTTTTTTGTCTTTATGACCATTTTTTGTCTTTCCTTCTCTACGACCCTTTTTTTGTTTTTCTTTTTTCTTCACTATACCCCCGTTTTTTTCTCTCTTTTTTCCCTTTCTGGGAAGTTTCTCCAATTGTACCTTTTAGTTAACATTATAAATAATAATAATGTAAAAAAACATACCTAGCTCTACTAATAAACAAAACCTTGATAGCCTTTTGTTTCATTCATTTGTGTGATAACTTGACTGTATTTATTCAAGTAAACAGAATCTGGTGCAAAACTGAATTTAAAGTAAGTGTCCCACACTGATATGGGACCAGAGACCAAAAATAGTCTAGTCTCCGAGGAACTTCCTTTTCAATTCAGTTGCCAAATAATGACCTTATCTCCACCTTCCTGGATGATTACTTTATAATTCAAAATGCAAAGTGGTGACTATAAAAAAAAAAAAAAAAAAAAGCTAACATGGTCAAGTTCCTATCGTTGTCTTGTAACTAAAAATAAAAAAAATTTTCTCACCAGAAACTTTGTGCTATCTTGTGATTTGAAAATATTCATTGCTTAACCTTCTCACTGCTAAATGAATCTCTCTGATGGGAATATAAGGCTAGTCTTAACATAGAAAGAAAGTCATCAATCTTTAAGCAGTGACATTGATAAAGAATGTGCTAACACTTTTTTTTTTTTTTTTTTCCTCCAAGATTCACACCTCTGTAAACTCTAGTGAATTTTCCATACTAAAACTTTCTTTCCACATCGAACATAAATTAACCAAATTCTTAATATATAAGTAACTTTAAAATTCCTTGTACTCACACCGAAAACTTTGTTGGTCTTTACTTTCTGGTTTTTATTTGATACTTACTGAATATTAAACTAAAAGCAAAATTACTTAGATAACAATTGGTCATTTTCTTTTTTCTGCTCTTGATCTCTAGAAAATTAGTAGCTTCAAGGTGAAATCCCTCCACTTTTTTCTTTTTTTTAAAGTGCTTAAACTCTGACAAGTAAACCTAAAAAAAATAAACAGGTGTAATCAAATGGAGAGAAGCAGTTATCAATTTAAAAGCACCAACATTGGTAGACACAGATCTGACAGACTTGGGTATGCCAAGATTCACAGTGTAGATTCTTAAGTGTAAAATGCTTTTCATGCTGAGCCTTTCTTTCCATTACGTGTTATGAAAAGCAATTTTTAGTTTTTAACTTTCAAGCAGCAAAGCAAATTTGCCTTACATTTCCAATTGAAGCAATACAGATCTCTACTGATACAAGGAACCACCATAGCCTCTTATTTCATTTACTACAGGAAGCATCCCCCAATTCAAAATGACTTGGCTGATGGCCATATCATGTTGAAACACCAGTTCCTGTACAATCACCAAAGTTAAGCAACATTGAACCTGGTCAGTACTTAGATGGGTAACCACCTTGGGAATACTAGGTGGATGTGTGGGTGGTGTAATGGATAATAGCTCAGAATTGTTAATAGGAGAGCCAAATTCCAATTCCTATTAGGTTCAATATATTCACTTACACACAAATTCCATTGGGCAAAGGCATGAATCCACCTCTTTCAGCTATGGATTATTTAGTATGACTTGTACCACTAAACCATTATCATCTTCAAAAAAGGAAAAATTCTTACAATCTAAAAATATTTTCTGGCTTTAAATAACCTGCAAAGGGTTCATATGCTATAGAGAATGAACCAATCAAAACCACTTATTCATTAAAGTAACTTTTTAACCTCTGAGCCTCAAAAATAGACTCTAGGATACATTGAAATATTAATCCCTCCTTCTATTGATAGAAGGGATTGCCATATTTCTTTTTATTTCATTCACTGTGATGAATTACCCACCTCCATTCAAAATAATTTATAGAGAAATATTTTTTTATCCAAGCCAGATGCACACTACATGCTTTGAAGCAACGTTTACTTCTATTGATAGATATAACCTCTATAGCTTATTTCATTCTTTACAGGAATTCTCCCCTGATTCAACACCATTCTGTGAGATATTTTAACTTTTGAGCTATAAAACTATAGTGAGTGTTTTCTTATTGCTGTCCAGCCTTGACAGATTTCAAAAGCAATTGTGCTGCCTTCTGGGTGACAAATTATTTTCCACCCCACAACCTTTTTACCACAAACAAAATGTTGTTAGCCTCTCACTACTCTATCACTATTACTATGGTAAATGTTCAGATGAGCTACATTCCACCAGTTCAGACCTTCACAGACCTTTCATATCATGTAAAATCAAATTATCCTCATTCTCTTTGTATTCCATTAGTAAGAAGTAAGTTCTATTCAAATTGATTAGTTGACCTTGATTAAGCAATAATTTATGCGCACTTCAAAGGGTAAGAAATGCATCACATGATAGTCTGGCTAGAGACACAAAATGTAAGTCACCTGGCAACTTGGAAATCAATCAGAATGACTACATATTTGCTGTAGACATGCCTTTTTAGTTTTACTGTTTCCTAACTGAATCACATGCAATGTACAACCAAGTCAGCTCACAAGTAAGACATAAATTCACTTCTGTTTCCATGTCTTTCAATATATATTCAGTTTGCTGCATGAACAAACGATTGTAGTTCTGTAAATATCAAGATAGCATTTTCCTCTCAAACATCTGTCCTTCTCTGTTTTCATCCATGAACAGTGTTATCATAATGTGGTCATGGTAATGCTTATGTTAGGATGGTGAGGTAAATTTATCTCCACCAGCCATTTTAATATCAGTAAAACGGTGTTATTGCATATTTTTGGAATCATTTTCTCTTTCTTTGTACTAAACTTTTCCTTAGCCTTTGTTCCACCCAAATAACTGGTACTCATGTTTTAGTTGAAAAAAATATTCCATCTCTTAAAAAAGAAATCTGTTAGAAACTTTTACTAAATAATTTTTTTCTTGCTTTTAATCTTTTGAAGATTAATTGATGTGGTTGTGGACGTGCGTTTAGTGAGATTATTAGTTAAAAAATTGCCTTTTATTCATGACAATGTATTTCTTTACAACACGCAAAAAAAACAACCAAAAAAGACAAGCAAAAACTCTAATTGTTCCCATCTCACTATCTTCAAAAGAAACCCACACAAGATATTGTTTACATGTGGTTTCAGGGACAACCCCAGAAGTATACATTTTAAAGGGGTTTAGCTCCGCCCTGTCTCCCCCCCACACACACACACTTTTAATTAAAAACGTGAAAAAAAAATGACGACTTGAGATTGCATTAACTCTTTTAAAGTTAAGATAGGAAGGAAAAAAAATGTGCACGCGTACATACAGACTGTCAAATTTCCTATTCAGGGGTGGGATCAGGGGCGTGGGGAAAATGAATAATGTATTTTGTGACAACTGTTTAATCTCTTCCTGAACAACCAACTTTATTATTTACCAACTTGTAATAGTGATTTATTTATTTATTTTAAAGAGATTTCACTGAGATAGGTTTTAGACTTACTCCATTTACAAACAATGCACAAAGAGATAAAAAAAAGCTTTCTAACTTCAACAAAAAAAGACGAATCTATGCTGAATTTTTGCGCTAAAAAGATAATCTTCTGTTAACTGGAATTTATTTCCTTTCCGAAAGAAGAAACGGATGCTGAAATGGACGGAACATGTCAGCAAATAGGAAGTTTTAAGGGAAATGGAAATGAAAAAGATACAATAAGAATGAAACATTTTAAATTTCTAGAAGGGTTTGGTATTTCAATTTCAGTGACTTTCTCACCTATGTGATTTGGTCTTTGTTTTTTGGTTTTTACTAATATTCACCCAATCAATACAAGGCCCAAGAGACACTCCAGGTAGAGGGTTAATGCGTGGAGTTAGATTAGCGTAGAAAAGGACAAGTGTTATGAGTATAGAGATGAATTAGACTTTTCAGAAGGAACCGGAAACTGAATCCTAAACAGGAAACAAGGGATAAATCTCTAATCCTGTTTAAAAGGCTGTTGAAACTGGCTTCCCTCTGTCTTTTCTACAAATATTTTTATGGCAATTGTTCTGATGAGACCAGATATTGTAAGCATGGATGTGCAGGTGGTGTAATGGATAATGGTTCAAAATTGTTAATCAGTAAAAAGTTTCAATTCCTGTTCGTTTTGTTATATTGACTTGCGTGCAAAATACCCTTGCGAAAGTTATGAATCCACCTCTTTTCCTCTCAACTGAGGTTAATTAGTAAGACTTGTACTACTAAACCATCATCACCACCACCAAAAAATATCATCACCAAAAAAAAAAAATCTTACAATCTAAAAATATTTTCTGGCTTTAAATAACCTGCAAAGGGTAGATAAGCCATAGAAAATGGGGTTATCAATCAATATTCTGAAAAGCTTTTTTTTCCTGGTGCCACGACTACATGAATGTAAACATGCTACCAGATTGGCAAGTGGGTTTTACTGTTAAACCAGCTAAATGCAACTGCCAGTTCTATTCTAAAAGTCTTTCTCACACTTCTCGCCTGTGTAACTCCCTTCAGATTTCTTGCTTCCCTGCCAACTACAATCTTGTCTTCCTGAATCCTGTTCTTTTATTGTCCTTTTCTCACTCCTCCCGATTAGTCTTCTCATTCTTTTTTCAATCCCTGACCTCTCCCCCTGCCCAATGCATACTAGTGACATTATCACCTTGCTTAGGGTAAAATGATTAAAAAGAAAAAGGAATGGACAAATAATGAGAAAAGACCGTCATAAATGGAAAATATATATTTAAAAATTGATGCGTAAAGATTTTTCTAATAATAGCGAGGACTTAATAATATAATAATTTAATGTCTTCAATTTAACTCGCAAAGTACATTGAAAATAACAGGGTGCAGGAAAACAGTGAGCGACCTACCTAAGTCTGTATAAATGAATAGCGGAGCAACTCGTACAGATATTGGTCGTCCAATTACCAAAAACCAAAACATGACTCTTAACATAAGAGAGATTAGTAGATAATACCGAAATATAAAGAAAGACTCAAGACACCCAAAGAAAAACAAAAATATCCATTAAATAAAACTTCTTTCACCACAGGAGATGGCATTTTCAAATATGTGTTAACCATCATTACTCTATATATAACTTCATTGGTGGTACAAAAAGTTTATCCTCCCATTGAAGGTGAATCTGATCCCTTAATAGTATATATGAATTTCATAGTTGTGTTGTCATATCCTGCTATGGCAACAGAAAACCACTTTGAGTGAAATTAACAATAAGGGGATTGCAATTGAGAGGCCTTATAAAAGAATGCAGTATAAAGGGAGTAATATTAATAATGCAGAGTGCTAAACGTTTTTAAAAAAAAAAAGAAAAATATTCAATATATCTTTCTAGTGCTGTCAAATTCTGTTAAACCATTCTACACCTGATGTTATGTATACAATAAGCATATATTAAAATTTGAAATGTAACGTTCAAAAAATAAATACCAGGCTATAGCTAACAAAGCTTATGTCTACAATGCTGACATTTAGTTTTGATAATGACCAAAGCAGTTGAAAGTACACAAACAAAAACAATAAAATCATGAACTTTGAACTGTTTATCCACAATTTTGATCTGGTTGGAAAAATGCAATAAAAAAATTTAAAAAGAGCCACCTTGTCAATTGAATTGAATAAGTCTCTCTCACATATATACACAGAAGTGTAACCATATATTTGTGTATAATGTCTAATTTTTTGTTTACTACTTATCTCCCTTGCACTGGCAACATGCCGACATCTTTAAGACAGTGTTGGACTGTACCAATGTGTTTGCAAAACCGGGAGGTGAAAAGACCAACTATGTGAAAGAGCTGACTACAACAAATCATAAGTGGGGAAATATGTATTTAAAAATTAATATGTGAAGTTTTTTATAATAATAGTGAGGACTTAGTAAAATGATTTCATGCCATCAATTGTGTTGGCATGGATGTGTGTGTGTGTATTAATAACTAATATAAAAATGAAATGGTGTATCATATTTGGAAATCTTTTTACACCCTCCCCACTCCTAACTCTGGTTTCCTCTTTGACCTTTTAGGATGTGCCGGATGAATTTAAATAACTATTTTTATTCTTGACACTGTGACCTTTCAGGTACAGTGGTTTTTCATCTCCTCTGCCCACTTGTAAAAATACTGTTCTCATGAAGACTCATTGGTTTAGAGAATACTACAGTCTTTCACTCCGAATGTGTTTTATTCAAAATATTCAGAGGTACCCCACACACACACACACACACACACACACACACACACACATCTATATATATATATATATATATATATATATATATATGACATTTATACATTTATATATATATATATATATATATATATATATATATTTCTTTCTTAAATTTTGACAAGTCTTAAAGAAATAGATAATAGGAATAATGCTTAATGTTATGTGATTCATGTAGATGTTAGTAAGCAATAAATAAA